GGCAGCCAGATCTCAGCTGTGACTGACGCCCGAAAACACTTGGCCAGCGGAGCAGGAAAAATGATCGCGGACGGGATTCGAACTACCGACCGTCCTCAAGATCTGCCAACCATCATGCTTTAACACGCTCGGCTACCAGCTTGCTTTTCCGAGCCCGAGGTCTGAGCTCGGTCCTGCTACAATCGTGTAGCTACAAACAGGGACGTACCACCAACCAGGTAGGCAGTTCAGTTGCGTTCGCGTGCACTGCGGTGTTGCCCACCCGACTGATGGCAGGCGCCCGCCCAGGGGGCCCGCCTGGTGTGTAGGCAGTACTGTCGAGCCAACGTGCCCAGCGGGGTTGCCTATCCATGAAATGACAGGTGCAGGACCGGCTGGCCAAGGGTGGTTATCCTCCCCTCCCATCTGAACTTACACATTGTGTCTTATGTTCTGCAGATCATGCGGCAGTCGGAGCTGGGCGCCGCCGTCGCCCTCCTCTTCATACAGGTGAGTAAAACAACACCCCCGCCCCGAGAGAAGCAGGAATTGTTTTCCTCTACACTTACATTTTCACATTGTCAAAAACGCGGCAAAAAATTTATTTCAGAATCGGCAAATCACGTCATTTGTTTTATTTTCCACGTTTTCGTACATTGGTTCTATATTTACCATCGTGTTTGAACTTCGCAGCTGACGCGCTCCGTTGTGGGCCATGGCCGCCTCATGGACCCGCCGGCCAGGAACAGCATGTGGCGCTTCGGCTTCCCCAACCCCGTCAACTACAACGACAACGAGCTCTTCTGCGGCGGCTACGCAGGTGAGGGGAAGAACGCCCGATCCACTTCGGGAGCACGGTGACTTTTTTAGCAGACAGTACCGTAAAACACCTAGACTACTTAAAAAAAAACATGAGTAACCCAGGCGAGGATCAAAAGGGGGGGGGGGGGCAAATACTTTTCGTCGCGCTTCTTCTCTCTCGTCAGGCAGGACCGAGCTCATAATTCTAGCGGGGAAGGCAGCGTGCTAAAGTGTGTTCGTTGGAGCGCGGGCATGGTCGGTAGTTCGAATCCTGTCCGCGGATCATTTTTCCCAATCTGCTGGACATGAGTCTTCGGGCGTCAGGGACAGCTGAGATCCGGATGTCGCCGGGAGCTGTTGTCACTATAGTTCCATCGTGGCTGAGTCGGTCACAAACGGGGACGTATGAAAAGAGATCGGTTTTATCGAGAGTTTTTCTCATATTCCGCATGGGCCACACCAGTGGGTAAGTCAGGATAT